AATCATATCCCTGTCAAAATATCAGTTTTACGGTAGTCGTAATCCGAATTTGAAAGATCGAACAGAAATATATTATAAACAAATTAAAAAGAAAATTGGGAATCTTTATCTTAGTAATAAAATAATGTTTGAAAAGGCCATGTAATTTTTTAAATAAGTAACAAAGTCAGTTCTTAATGTTATTTTCTGTTCACGAATGAATGGATCTTATAGGTCCGTAAAGTATTTTAAAGAAAGTAAACAATAGCAATTTTATCACTGACACTCATTTTTATGATGCATAACGTGGGGTCAATATCCCTTAATTTGTGTAGGTGTTTGAATCTTTCAGATAAAAGAGCCCTTTTATATGTTGACATTTATCAAAATTGAGACCAATTAAAAAGTTAAAGCTGACCTATTTCATATTTAATGGCATTTTAAGCATGGTATATATTTACGTGAGGTCTTATTTTAATCATACTTTGCCATTTACATGTATTTTAAAGACTTAAAACAGAGTAAACAAAGTATAATATCATCATTTTCTTTTGTTCATATTTAAGATTCTTAAGACATTTAAGATGCTGAGAACTTTCCTGTTTTAAAAGATAAAAAATGAGTAAGAAACTTAATAAAAAGAGATTGATGCTTAAAATCACACATGTAAGGGGATCACCCCTTTCTTTCCAAATAAGAGAGAAAAAAATCTAAATTAACCATTGTAGGCAATTGTAAATTGCCAAATTAATTAATATATCATGGACCTACGACATTTAGCTATGGGTGTTAATCCTTGTTTCTCAATTTTAAGAGTTTTTCCATTGCCCTACTGATGTAAAGTACTTAGTGAAGGAAAAGTCAACATCTACCAAATGAAATGATTACATTAACAGGGATTTTACGATGTCCGAAGCCATTCTTGAAATTCCAAGCAGTATGCGTACAAAAAACTAAAAGTGGGGGAAAATCAAATATCTTTGTTTTTTTTTTCACTCCAACTGTAATGTGAAGTTGTGATGTCTAAAAGTGGACAATTACATCTTTAAACATAGACGTATTTTTTCAGCGTCAATAACTTACTAGTCCTGTAGATATTTATTTGCAATGGCATACATTTATTACGAAGGGCGTTCAATAAATAATGTCACCAATCAGATTCCATAAAACACAGGGCTCAATTGATCTTTAGATTTTTTTTCACGCATGATTTGGTTCATAATCTATTTATGGTCGTTTATCTGACCAGGTTTCATCATCGAATACTCCCTTGGGAAACTGATATATAACCCCTACTCGAGACACTGTATGAAAATATGACTGGTAAGTCATCTTCCAATAAGGCTGAAATTAGAGGCTACATTAAAGCATGTGTCAGACTAGGAAAAGACTCAAAGGAAATTTTCAAAGAATTATGTGATGTGTATGGTAACAAGTGTATGTCACTAAGACAAGTTTACAGGCGGGTGAGCAAATTTTAAAACGACCAAACAGACCTAAAGGATAAGCAACGTCCTGGACCACCTCGAACGGCTTCAACTGATGCAATACTTGCAAAAATAACCAATACCATCACTAATTATGGTCGATTAAGCAATGGTTATTTGCTAATTTTTTAAGCATAGCAAATTTAGCAGGAATTTCATCGGGGACAGTTTTTACAATTTTAAAGAAACACCTTGGCCTCCGAAAGGTTAGTGCACGATGGATACCCCATCTTTTAAAAGAAGAACAAAAGCAATTGCGTGTTGAAATGTCTAAGAAATTACTTAAAATCTACAAAATCTATGTGCACGACGTTTTTCGGAAATTGTTACAGGTGATGAAACATGGATACATTATTTTGAACCTCAGAGGAAAATTGATAACAAGATGTGGTTGACTAAAAAGGCAAAACGCCCTGTTATCGCAAAACGATGTCAAAGTACTAAGAAAGTATCATATGAAATTTTCTTTAATAGTGAAGGTCCTGTAGTTCAGCTAGCTATTCCAAAAGGCAGATCAATCACCGGACACGTATATAAAAATCTTGTGCTAAAGAAAGTTAAGAAACACTACGAAAGGAAGAGACCAAAGTCTGGAATTCGCAACATTCGACTTCTTCATGACAACACCCCAGCACATAAATCCCAGATTGTGAGATGAAAAGGTTCATGTTTTACCCACCCTCCCTATTCACCCGATTTGTCTCCCTGTGACTTTTTTTCTTTTCCCCAAATTGAAAAAGCACTTTTCAGGAAGAAGATATGCTTCAAGGAAAGCTTTGGGTTCTGCCATTTATCAGTTCATGAATACCATACCCAAAAAACATTGTATGAATGCATTCAAAGCTTGGATAAAACGGTTGAAATCATGTGTGTCTGTCAAAGGAGAGTATTTTGAAGGGAACCATTAAAAAATTATGAAAAAATATTTTTGTGTTATTTTTTTAACAGTTATTATTTATTGAACGCCTCTCGTACAATGTATTTATTCAATATCACAAAAGAATATATTCTTAGACTGACAATTTTCCAATAATTTGTTTTATCAGAGATCTAACATTATAATTTTATCAATTTCAGTTCTCTGTGAACATATAACATCCAAATGTCATGGTAACTACTACATGAATTCGATGTGTGCCAACCACACAGAGGTTATTGCCATCCAAAAACTACAGTATGGTGCAAAATCATCTAGCGAAAACTGTCCCCTCCAGACAAAGCAGCATAACAATAATACGTGTTGTTCATATGAAAAAGGCGACTGTTTAGAGGATGTGACTGATTATGCCAATAGATACTTATATTTTTCTCGCCTGTCTGGATTAAATAGTATTTCTCAAAATACAGCAACTCCTTGGACCATTATGAGATGTGGAGGCACTTCCTCTAACTATGTTCAGGTGGTGTTCAACTGTGTAAAAGGTACTCATCAGATACAAATATATTTTCAATACCTTGTGTATTCTTTCGAGTAAAATTTAAGATTGACTGAATTTAACAATCTTTACGAATTCTTGTAAATAACGTGCGAAGAAGATGAATCGATATTTACAAATCGAAAGAACATAAACTCGGGAAAAAATCAGACTTGGGCGATGCAACATGCTATCACCTCACGCCACAAATACTTTTGTTCTTTTTTTTTTCTCAGTTAATGAAGTATATGCAACATTTTCTTACTTCCTCAGGAAATAAGTATATGCATATTCTGCTTTTCAATGTGGGATTTTTGAGTGCATACATACATTCAACTTAGAAGCATATTCTTGTGCCTTTTTGCAATATGATTAAAATTCTCTTCTATTTTTGACATTAAGGCATCTACTTTGAAAACACGGGAAGTATTACAGATTATTGCGCATAAGCATAAGCAAAGGAGCAAAGTTATTTCATTTAATATCATTCGTTAAAGTTAGTTTGATAACATTTAGTTGTTTTCTTTTGACAGAATCAGAAATCAAGAACTTCTGTAGCTATCAGAAAATGACCTCGACAAATAAAGGCTTGTATCTCCACAGGGAACGATTCTTAAACATTAGAAATACCTGTGACTGTATGATCAAATCACTGGAAAATTCGACAATCAACATATATGCTGTTGATGTGCGATTGCAACCAAAGTACCCTATTAATCAAAATCTAACCGGGGACTGTATAAACGCAACGAATATGCTGATAATTAGCGACAACAACAATGTGACGACCATTGAATGTCAAAACGACACTATCTATGGCGAATATGCAAAACTTTATTCTTCAACTGGAAATTCTATAAATATATCATATTCTGAAGACGGGGAAGAACCTCAAAGTGTCTGGATATTCGTTGATGGTAAAGTAGACGTATTTTGCAATGAAATTTTAGTTAGATCCTAAGGTGGCATATTTCTGCCCCCGACATGCAAGATAAATTATGTTAACATGCGAGAAAAGTAAGACAACATGCAAGATAATTAAGTCTACATGTATCATAATTATGTTGACAAGCAAATTACCAATTTTTTAGAGAATCTAATTGTAATGTTAGTAAACATACTTACTAACGCCAGTATACATCATACAGGCAAGATGCAACAGAATTATATTGACATGCAACTTATTTATGTCAACATGCATAATAATCATGTTAACGTTCAAGATATTTATGTCAACATGCGACTTGTTTATGCAAACATGCAACATAATTATTAGGACATGCAACTTATTTATGTCAACATGCAAGATAATTATGTTAACATGCAACTTAATTATGTCTACATGCGACTTACTTATGTCATCATGCAACTTATTTATGTCATCATGCAACTTATGTATGTCAACATGCGACTTCTTGATGTCAACATACGAGTTATATTATAATAATATTTATGTCATGCAAGATAATAAGTTGCTAATGTCAACATACATATCTTGCATGTTGACATAAAGAACTTGCATATTAACATAATTATCTTGCATGTTGACATAAATAAGTTGCATGTCTACATAATTACCTTGCATGTTGATATAAATAAGTCGCATGTCAACATAATTCTGCTACATATTACTTGTATGATGTCATATAATGGCGTTAGTAAGATTAACAGCGTTAGTAAGAGTAAGATTAAAATTAGATTCTCTAAATAGATTCATAACTTGTATGTCAACATCATTATTTTACATGTTGACATAAATAAGTTGCATGTCTACATAATTATGTTGCATGTTAATATAATTTATCTTGCATGTAGGGGGCAGAAATATGCCACCATAAGATCCACCTCATTTTTGTTTTTTGTTTTTTGGTTGTTTTTTTTTTTTTCGTATTTCTAAATTGTTGATTTATATATATATTAAAAATATTTCTCTCCCATGGTTTTGCTTAATTGAAATCAAGAATGTTAAGAAATGTATACATTTAATTGTTGTTTAGTCAGCAAAGGGGATTTTGAAATTGAATGCAATCCACGACTCTTAACTACAACTCCAACAACACAATCAACAACAACAGTGAAATCCAAAAATTCGCATTCACATGTGACGTTGTCTGGTAACCAAGGAAATAGTTACAAAAATCAAACTACAAATTCGTCAGGACCAAAAACACCATCTCCAGGTTATTATAATCTTCAATATGCAATATTAGTAACATATGCATGTATCTTGCCTGTGCAAACATGTAGTTAATTTGCATACTATATTTATTATATATAATCAATAAAGTGTGAATTCTTTTTCTAACATTTACTATTCTACTAGAAATTTTTAATCTGTCAAAATTCTTTGTTAAGAGTTATTTAAAGTTTAACAACGACACATAAATCAAGAAATATTAGTTTTCTTTCAGGAAAATGGATAATACCATACATAGAAATAAGATATACTATAATTAAAACACTTTTTTTCTCTGACTTATTGTTCAGGTTCTAAAAATTCTGATTCTGACGTCATCGAAACTGGACCCTCGGCGAGAGGTTAGATTGATATCATGAGACTATAATGCAAAATATGAAAGAATACTGCAATTCGAAATACTTGTACTTGTATGCGTTTGTGTTCACTTTGTGATTTTTTTTTCTGCAGCAAGAGAGAGGGCCATACAAAATACGGCAATTTACTGCGTCATAGGGGTGGCCGCTATAGCGGCCATATTGATAATCACGGCCGGGTTTCTCATCCGTAGAGGTAGAAGGTCAGTACGCCAAATACATATTATATGTAATGCAGTCAGTATTTTAAAAAAGAAATTAAATATTATTCTAATTTTTTGTTTAAAAAACATTGTCATGAAGGATTGACAACCAATTTCAAAAATGCCATTTACATTTTTCATTTTAACTGGAAGTGTGTATTACAAGATGAATCAAGCAATATAAACCTTATAATATTTATAAAGTTTATGTATGTGCTTTCATTCCTAACTTTCCTACCTTTTAGATCAGCAGAGCAACAAAGAAAATATAAAAAGGTACAGGAATCAAGACTCAGTCAGTCTGATTCCTCCATTTTCAAACTGGAAAAATTACCCAGGGAAACACCAACACAATTTTCTGCAGGTTCAGAGGACCAGCTGTATTGACGAACTCCTTAATATTAGAAGGAAAATATATGACATTGTACAGATTCCTTAATGCTAGAAGAGAAGGCTTTTTGTAACATTTTATGACATTGTACATTGAATCCCTTTATATTAGAAGAGGGAAGGCTTTCTGTACTATATGTCATTACACAATTTTATCATAATAAGAGTAGATATGAATTTGTATTGATAAAATTGATGTAATGGATAAGTTTGCAGATATTTTTTTTTACATGCATTTAAAATTGAACGGATGTTATAATTGACTTCCTTCAAAATAATAAACCTAATTTTAGCATGTACATCTGTATGTCCTATAATGCATGGGCATAACTGTAAAAAAAAAAATCCTGGACATAATAATGTGAATGTATGTTCATGTATTATTATTTGTGTGGGTTTTTTTTTTTTTCTTTATCAAGAATCTGACCACTTTCATACCATCTTTACTACTGCATTTGCAGGAAAGTACCGGTAATGAGTTTCTTGAAATGCTACATTTTGAATTCTACAAGTCTAGGGCCAGAAAAATTTAAGCGATGCTTACGTGTCTTTCTTCTATCTGTGTCTCATTCACTGTAATCATTTGTATTTCAAGAGCTACAACTCCTAAAGTTTTAATCCGATTTTAACAAAACTTGGTAAACAAGTAGGCATTCTATTCTAAGAAATAAAATTCTTTTATTCAGTTTTTGAATTCGATAAATTGTGTTGAGGATTTGAACATGTACTTGTAATAAAAGATGCAATTATATTTGAAACTATGTAAAACAAATAAATCAAATAATGATCCTTGGATATACATTTTTTTATGAATGCTGCTGTGGTTTTTAAAAATATAATTTTCTATAAAAATCTATCAAAACAGTTATTCTCATACTTGATAGCGATGAACGGTGTTACCATGTATAATTCTTCAATGTAATTTTTCTTCTGTCCCATAAATAATCTAAGATTTCTATTTATAATGGAAGATGAATTTGCTCATTAAAATGTTTTTTTTTCGTTTTGTAATGACAAAAATATACCAAAGGATGGAGATAAAAATAATATTCAAACAAGTTGAACATACCGGCAAATTTGACACAAATCATTGGTTCTTCTTATATTTATTGTTTTAAAAAATTTCAAAATGAAATTTTCACAGATTCAAGAAGACAATAGCACTAAGTGATGATTTTAATTAAAATTTAGATTGAATTTGACAGTTTTATTTTAATAGGAAAGGCAGGTAAAGGTCATTTTCTTTTTTCCTTGGCATTAAGAATCAAAATTTACTGTTGCCAATCATTTGTGAAGCACTGAGGCCCTGGTATGGCAGCTCATTGCTTTGGTTAAAGTTTTCAAATGTAGGTCAAACTTCAAGGTCAATGTCAACAATTCAACAAGATGTGTTTGTGAAACACTGATGCCCCCGTATGGCAACTTATAGCGAAGGTTAAACTTTCTCAAATGCAAATCAAATATGATGGTACCCAAAGTAAGATCTTGTACAGAGGAATATACCTGTGAAATATGAAAGCCCTAGCAGCAACCATTGAAAAGATATGGAGAAGGTTAAAGTTTTTCAAAATTAGGTCAACCTCCAATGCCACGGTCAAAGGGTCAAAGTTGTTGGTATCCAAAGGAAGGTCTTGTCACAAGGATTGCATATATGAAATATGAAAGCCCTAGAAGCAACTGTTCAAAAGAAATGGCCAAGGTTAAAGTTTTTTTTTTCAAAAGTAGGTCAAACTCCAAGGTCAAGGTCAAAGGGTCAAAGTTGTTGGTATCCAAAGGAAGGTCTTGTTACATGGATTACACATGTGAAGTATGAAAACCCTAGCATTAACCGTTCAAAAGTTATAGCCAATGTTAAAGTTTTTTTCAAAAGTAGGTCAAACTCCAAAGTGAACGTCAAAGGGTCAAAGTTGTTGGTATCCAAACGAAAGACTTGTCACAAGGATTACACATGTGAAGTATGAAAGACTTAGGACCAACCGTTCAAAAGTTATGGCCAAGGTTAAAGTTGGGAAAAATTTTGTAAAACTGGGTCAAACTCCAAGGTCAAGGTCAAAAGGTCAAAAATGATGGTACCCTAAGAAAGGTCTTGTCACAAGGAATACACATGTGAAATATGAAAGCCATAGCTTCAACCAATCAAAAGTAATGAGCAATGTTAAAGTTTTTGCAGACAGACAGACGGACGGACAGGGCAAAAACTATATACCCCCGAATCTTCGATACGGGGGAATAAAAATGTTGGTACAGAGTACGTACCCGAAGAAAGGATCTTGTCACAAGAAATATACATGTGAAATATGAAAGTCCTTGATTCAATCGTTCAGGAAATAGGTCCAAGTTAATGTTTCTCAAAAGTAAATCAAATTTCAATGCCAATGGCACTTTGAAATGTTGTAACCAAAAGAAACGTCTTATCACAGGAAATAAACATATGGAATATGAAAGCCCTATAACCAACCAATCAAAATTTATGGAAAAGGTTAAAGTTTAGTTCAAGCTTTTTTTTCAAAGGAAGATCAAACTCTAAGGTTAAGGTCATCAGTTCAAAAGCGTTAACATCCAAAGAAGGGTCTTGTCACAAGAAATACACTTATGAAATATGATAGCCCTAGCACCAACCGTTCAAAAGTTATGACCAAGGTTAAAGTTTAACATTTTGCGGATTAATATACAAACAGTCGGACAGACTAGAAAATATATGCCCCTGAGTGTTCGATTATGCGGGCATAATAAATTACGATGCAGGACGCCCTATTACTTAAAAGAACCTTGTGAAGAATCCAGCATTGTTGGCAATACTTTAGGCGAAACACTATAAAAAAAATATGTGGACAGTTTTATTTAATCAAATTTGTACATATAAAAGCAAATGCTGTGTAGCAACCAATATTGATAAAAAAAAAATCCAGTAATGATAAAATGTTGCATAAGTTAATGGATTTTCATTTTATAATAAAGAAATGGTAGCATTAATGATGCTCCATCGTAATAACTAATGATAAAACGTTCACTGAGATAACATTTTTCATTAGAGGTTAAAAATGTTGTAAACTAATGATAAAAAAAATTGACAAGGAAAATATACACAGTCTTATCCATATATGATTTTTAAAAATCCATGCATTAACGGATGATTTTGAAATTCGTAAATGATATAATTTGTTTAGCACGTCAATTTTTCGTCTCTATCGTTCATTTGTAGCTGTTAGGTTAGGATAGGTAGGGGTTTGTGGAAGGGGCAAATCACTGTTCTATTTATTATCATTAGCGGTGTATGTTTTGTGTGATGAATTGATGAACTAAGATTTTGATGCCTAACTTTGATACTGATCGTGGAAATACAGACAAAAAATGCAAACTGTATACTGGACATTGAGAGAGTTGATACTCATATTGGAAAACAAAAACTTTTGATTTATATTCGATAATCTTTCATTCGATAATGTTTTATATAGTATATAAATAACAAATCATAAAATCATCACATATAAATACAAGATTAAAAAGATATTGCATATAGATAGCAAGTTTTCGAAAATGAATATCAACTTATTAACGTATAAATCACAAGATTACATATCGCATATAAATCTCATGATTATTGAATATGAATCACCGAGTATTTGCATATACATGAAAATATCAAGTTTTTGAAATGAGTATCAATTTTTCACATATGTATCACAAGATTATCGCATATCTATCAGATTATTGAATATGAATCACAAGATTTTTCATATAGATAACACCTTTTCAATTACAATTTACAAGACTGCATATAAATCACATTTTTTTCAAATATTATTAACAAATACCGAATATTAATCACAAGATTTAGAATACGAAAAACAAGTTTTCGAATATGAATAACAAGTTTTTGAATATAAATTGTAAGTTGTCTCAAATATAACACAAGTTTTTGGTCTGTGCGTCTGCCTTTCTCCCAAAACTTTAACCTTGGCCATAACTTTTGAACAGTTGGTGCTAGGTTTTTTCATGTTTCATACGTATTGCTTATGAAAAGGCCTTTCTTAGGGTGTCAAAAATTTTGACATCCTGACCTTTTGAAAAACGTTAACTTTGGCCATATAGCTGCAAAATGGGGGGCATCAGTATTTCACAAACACATCTTGTTTTTATATCTGAGCTTTTTTTTCTTTCAATTGTCATTACCCAGTATACAGTTTTTATAGGGTTGATACTAAATTTTAATGTTTTTGTAACTCCTTCGTTTTCGCTGAACCATCAATACCTCAATACAGGTAAGAGAATGTTTTCCATGAGAACTTATGAAAAAAAAAATCAAAAAATTAACTGTTGGACTGATTTAATAAAAAAAAAAAGATGCATGTACAGCTAATGATTACTACAAGGCTGTTGTTATCAATCAAATGTATAATTCTGCATATTCAACATGATTTAAAATCTTTCTGAGGAGACATACTTATTCTTTGTTTTCTTTGTCAATAATTTTAAAGGATACATGTAACTTCAGATATAAAAACACACAGTAAAAATATCTTAACATTGAATAGATCATCATACTTTAGGTAAAATGGATTTTTACCTAGTTTAATAATTTTTATATACTACATGCCATATTTATTTGTTTTACATAAATAATATTGTGTAACATTAATTGCAACCATTTTTCGATGAAATATCCAAATGATAAAGTAAATACATTGTGGACTGTCATCCCAGGAAAACAAATTTTCTACTATTAACATTTTATAAGATGTTAACTAGCAATGCATTATATATACATTCTATTTTGGGATTTCCTCACAGCTTCTGTATCTCTCTGGTCCTCTTAATAAACTGATAGCTTATTCAATATAATATTTTTTTTTTAAAAAAGTAAAAAAAAAAAATGGCCTCAAAAAGATATTTAACTACTCTGTTCATCATAAAAATTACAAGTAATTCATTTCTATACCATCTCTAGCAACACTTCCAGACAGTGCTTTATAAAACCAAGTATTTCCTCTGGTCCATGGAAACTTCATGGAAAAAAGGGTCAACCTATGCATGATAATTTGCTGTTACTTCATATTCTTCCAGTATTTCAGATCTGCACCACAAACTTTGAGTCAAAGCTCACATTTTCTGCAGATTGTGTAGAGTTGTTCACCTGAACAAATTCTACCTTTCATAAAACTCTTGAGTTCATTATCAGATATCAAAAGTTTCAGCACAAATACTGTGACCATGTTCTTCATATTGTTCCCTGGTAACAGCCATTTTCTTATATTCCTCAGTGTTAGCCAGCAATCGCCCACCGTCCCATGCGTAAGTTACAGGGCTGCAAATAGAGGGAGTTTGTAATACAGCTTAAATGTTACCTACGCTTCATTGGTATGACAAAATTAAGATGAACAACCACCCCATTTTTTTTAAGACCAGCTATTAGTTAAATACATATATGAAATTTTGAAAATACAGTGAACATGATAAAATATCTCTTACCAATGCTTGCATTTGTTTTTGTTTTTGTTTTTTTTTTTTTTTTTGTTATTTTTTTTTATTTCTGGCTTTTGATTTTTTCTTGAAAAGGGGGATTCAAAAAAGTAAAATTGGAAATGCCTGTATAACTGTGTTTGTTCTATAATTTGGAAGTCATACATATTTCTACGCTTTATATATATAAAGAATGAAAAACTTACTTGCTTGGCATTTTAGTTGAGATATCATATTCTTCAGGAGCCATACTTCTTACATCAGCATAACTAACAAAACACAAATGTTAATAAAAGTTTGAATGGAAGGATTTATGCTAACTTAATCAAGACAGTGGATAAGATAGATAAAGGGGGCTAAGACTTTCAACTCATTTCCATATATCCATGGTATTCATTGGTATTCAAGATATTCATGCTTGAGATATTAAGGTTCCACTGTATTTTTCTTAATAAAAACTACATGATGCACGAAAACACGGTTTCATGCATTGAAAGATTTCCAAATGGCCGAATAAAAATTAAAAATCAAATGTACAAAATATATTCACTTCTTTGAGAATTTTTTTTTGTAAATATAACTGAAGAATTGGATTTAAGTTTTCTGCAGGTAGTGGAAAAAATACATGTATGTTACTTTTACTTAAAGGTGCTTGGACACAGATTTGAAGTTAATATTTTCTCAAATTTTCTGTATAATTTCATGACTTATATGTTGCCATAACATTTCATACTAAAATATAATAAAAATCTTATTTCATCTCAAAGTTATTAAAACTTCGAATTTCTGCATGCATTGGATTGACACATCCTTGCGCTTTCACATATTTTAATTTTATTCTTAATACTTAAGAAAAGTGGCAATTTTGTTGTGTATTAATGAAAAATATTAAAACTATAACCCAGAAAATTCAGAGTAGAAATGTTCGAAAGCAAAACCCACTCACAGTATTGTAAGTCCGTGCTCAGTGGTGTGTACAGAGTTTAACAATTGAACACACCCGTTGAATCGTAAACATTAACAATAACAGAGCTCGTGCCCTGTTTACAAAACCAGTTTACGTTTAACGGGTGTGTTCAATTTGTTAAACTCTGTACACATCACAGAGCACAGACTGACAATACTGGTGAGTTGGTTTTGCTTTCAAACATTTCTACTCTGAATTTTCTGGATTATACATGTAATATTTTTCATTAATACATAACAAAATCGCTTCTTTTCTTAAATATTAAGGATGAAGTTAAAATTTGTGTAAGTGCAAAGATGTGTTAATCAAACGCATCCTGGAATTCGTAGTTCCAATTATTTCCAGATAAAATAAGTTTTTAATTATATTTTCATGTGAAATGCTATTGCACTATGTAAGTCGTGATATTATACAGAAAATTTGAGAAAACATTAAAGGACTTATCGCATGATCTTTCAAAAATCGTAATTTTATGAAAAATATTATCTACAACCTTGTTTATTAAAATATTGAATAGAATAAACGTTGTTGAAAGCATATTTTAAGAGATATTAGGAGTTGAAATTCAAATATGGCAATATGCATATTTCAGTCGGATTTCGGCGAAATACTGCTCTGATGTCATAGGCGACAATTCAGTGATAGAGAGATGAGAATATGCACACTAATTACGGAGTTATCAACAACAAATGCAGCTTAATTACGAAAAATGCTGAAAAAATTAATGCCTAACGTGCTTCTCAATTACTATAGAAACATTAACTAGTTCTATGGCATAAGGCTTCTGAGAAATTTTCGTTTTTTATTCCAAACATTTAGAAACTGTAGCTTTGATTACGGCAATGTTTCGTGATCGGGAAATTATTTTTCAAGATCGCCATCCTTTAAAAAAAAACATATGAAGACTTGCATAAATTAATATTATGTTAAAAATAAAGAACAACAAAGTTATATAATGTTAAATTTGTGAATCAAATAAGTAAATACGTGTGATAAGATGACAAATCAAATCGTATTCTGATGGCGAGTTTCTTCGTCTTCGCCGCGTCTCCCTCGCTATCGTCGATGCTATTTAAATACAATGTAAACAGATTTTTCTGATTTTTTTTTGCTGCAATTCTAACATATAAGGTTGGATATTCAATATCATATCGATAAAATAAGCGATTTGGTCATCCACAACGCAGAAAATTCAGGTTGTATCGCATATATTTTCGTAAGATTAACATGGAGCTGATCAGCCATTGTCACCTTTGACGTCACGGGGTCACGTGATCGCTATCTAATTAACTTGGATTTTTAAATCAGGGGTTTTCATTTGAGTTAATAATTGATTAATTACCGTGATTTATCTGCAGTAAAAACACAAAATTTATAAACTGTGGTCATAAGGAACGTTTTATGCTTTTAATTTCAAATAATTTAGAAACATGCAACAAGTCCTTTAAGTTCAAATCTGTGTCTAAGCACCTTTAAGAATTTATTCTAATAATAAATGACTATAGTATTGCAAATGTACTTTTCTTGGTGAGAGTCATATTTTGGCAGCTTTCCTGCATCCTTTTTTGTGTGCTAATTGATAAATACCGCCAAATATGGATTTTATGTAAAGTTTTTGCATAAGGATAGCATTAATTCATGATTGCACCAAATAGAGCCTGTCCTATATTTGCACCAAGCTTTGAATACATAAAAATAAGTATAAGGCCAGTATTTGATATTAAAAGTTTTCCAAAGTACACTAGGTATGACACAGAGATTTAATAAAACAGAACTTCTACTTACAATCTCTCAGAAAATCCTGGTAGTAAACAATTCCCACCCGTCAATACGATGTTAGAGTACATATGAGGACGCATCTCTGAAAAATAAAGTAAATCAATTGAGGGAAAATCAACCAAAATTTCTCTGACATGTTTTGTTGTTTCTTTTACAAAGTACAAGTAAACTGAATATGAAAAAATTGCTATAAAATGCACATTGGAGTTTCATCTTTTAAACATTTGCTTCACTAGAATACTGTATATGATGCAAGCAGAGTGTATGATGATATGTTTTATATGATACACACAATAACTTTGCATATGTATTTTGATACAAACCAAATGAATTTGACACTCACATATATTTTTTCCTCTTAACAAGTAATGATTATCTTGATAATTCAAGAATTTAAAACCTCAGATTTTAAAAAAAATTCATATATTTTCAAAACTTTAGCCATTCAGAAAGATCCCCCTAAAACTTGTGGTAATTTGAGGTCTTTCAATACTACATGTATCTATTAGATCTTTGCTGACATGCTCTAGAAATGCATGACACTTTCAATTACTGTACATGTTGAAATTAATATTAATTTTCCAGAGAAAATTATTTCTTAAAAACAGACATATTACTCATAATTCCATCTTACATTACATTGTAAACAAGAGGCCCAAGGGCCTTAACGGTCACCTGAGTATAATACAACAATTTAGAAGTTAAATACACTGATAGATGAAGCTTTGTTGCCCTAAAGCAAGAGAAGTAGGAAGATCAGGATCAACAAAATAATTAGTCTAGTATTCAGTATCAACTCATAAATTAAGTTCTAATCTGTCCCCCACTTAACACTATCACCATGCAGACTATTAACAAACTATTAGTGCTTCTGTACTATTTTTATACCCATATTAAGATCTCTAGCATTGACTTCTCTTATATCTTTGAAGAACTTTTAATAAGATAAGTTATTTTTGTCTCATTTTTATTTATCTATTACTTACAGGTCTGCCTAATTATTAAAACTAAGAAAGTACTTTTTGAATTATACGATAAACATTCTTGCATAATTATCTTATTCTATTAACCTTTCAAATACATTATTTACAGTGATTAATTATCAAAAGTGAATCGAAAAGGGGAATAACTTCTCTCAGTAGAATACAAATTAATAGAGCCCTGCCCAGGACCAGAATGCTTAGACAAATGGTCCAGATGTTCAAAAATCTGGTAGAAATACGCTGACTTATATCATTTAAACTTTTACTCAGTTTGCTTCCGATATGCCCAGAAGCAGAGAAGAATTTCACAGGTACAATGCATTTTCACTACAGATTCAACAAAACCTTACCCTAACACCAGAACCCAAGACCAAAGGTCAAGAAATTTACAAATTGGGAAGAGTTACCCTCATCATCATAACTATGGACTTCAAAGAATTAACACTTTTCCACTATATTATCAAAAGCCCCCCCCCCTCCCCTCCTCGTTATGCCAGAACCCCTGACCCTAGGAACACAAGATTTAAAAATTCTGTTCGAAGCTCCCATTTTCATCATAGCTAAGCAATTTATTTATCAGCTCAACACTAAGGAGCAGACAGGATTGATTAATGATTAATCAATAGAATTAATGCATTTTTACTATATAATCAATAGAGCCCCCCTCCCCCCCCCCCCCCCCCCCCCTCCTCAAGAACCCCAAAAACTGAGGCCATATATTTAAAAATTTTGGACGAGGCATCCTTGCCTATCATAATCATGCATTTAGTTTGTTTAAATAATCTCCAGTACCAAGAAGAAGATTTTCATAGAATCAATGCATTTTCACTATATAATCAATAGAGCCCCGCCCTAACACCAGAACCCCTGACCCTGGGGCCATGAAATTCACAATTTTTAAAAAGGCATCCTTATGCATCATAATCATGCACTTAGTTTGTTTAAAAATTCTCCAGTAGCAGAGAAGATTTTCAAAGAATTAATGCATTTTCACAATATAATCAATAGAGCCCCGCCCTAACACCAGAACCCCTGACCCAGGGGCCATGAAATTCACAATTTTTGAAAAGGCATCCTTATGCATCATAACAAGGCACTTAGTTTGTTTAAATAATACCCAGGAGCAGAGAAGAAGATTTTCAAAGAATTAATGCATTTTCACAATATAATCAATAGAGCCCCGTCCTAACACCAGAACCCCTGACCCAGGGGCCATGACTTTCAAAATTCTGGAAGGGGCCCACCTCCTCCTCATAACTATGTACTTAGTTTATCACCTTAATGCCCAGGAGCAGAGGAGAAGATTTTCAAAGAATTAATGCATTTTCATTATATTGTCAATAGAGCCCCGCCCTTACACCAGAACCCCTGACCCAGGGGCTATGAAATTCACAATTTTGGAAGAGGCACTTTTGCTCATCATAACTATGTACTTAGTTACCTTATTTAACACACACGGGCAGAGAAGAAGATTTTCAAAGAATTAATGCATTTTCACTATATAATTTATACAGCCCAGCCCTAACACCAGAACCCCTGACCCTGGGGCCATGAGATTCACAATTTTGGAAGAGGCTCTCTTGCTCATCATAACTATGTACTTAGTTACTTAATTTAATACCCAGGAGCAGAGAAGATTTTCAAAGAATTAATGCATTTTCACTAGATAGTCGATAGAGCCCCGCCCTAACACCAGAACCCCTGACCCTGGGGCAGGGGTGTGCAATTAGCATCGCCCGACGCCCGGGGCTACCATTTTTTGGGGTCGGGCTAGTGGTTTTCAGCATGCAGGTAGCCCCATGGGCTAGTAAAAATTAAAAAATACCAATGTAATATTTGAAAATCACTACCGGTATTTTCACTCGTTTTTTGCTATTAAATTCCCAACCAATGAAAAGTTTCCAGACAGCATGCTCCATTCATTTTTATTTTCTATCATAATAATTAATTTATACATGATTCAATATTACTAGTGAGAATTAAACTTTAATTTTAATAAAAATGACCTTAAAACCTTGACCTTTTTAACAGTTATCTTTTTTTCAATATTAGTTGTTAACCCCCCCCCCTCCCCCCTTTACATTTGGGCTAGTAACTTTTTACTTGGGGCTAGTAACTTTATTGCTGCCACTAGCCCGTGGGCTAGTACTTGATTTTTTTAATTGCACACCCCTGCTGGGGCCATGAAATTCACAATTCTTGAAAAGGCACTTTTGCTCATCATAACTATGTAATTAGTTACTTTATTTAATACCCAGGAGCAGAGAAGAAGATTTTCAAAGAATTAATGCATTTTCACTATATAATCAATAGAGCCCCACCCTAACACCAGAACCCCTGACCCCGGGGCAATGAATTTCACAATTTTGGAAGAGGCACTCTTGCTCATCATAACTATGTACTTAGTTACTTTATTTAATACCCAGGAGCAGAGAAGAAGATTTTCAAAGAATTAATGCATTTTCACTATATAATCAATAGAGCCCCACCCTAACACCAGAACCCCTGACCCCGGGGCCATGAATTTCACAATTTTGGAAGAGGCACTCTTGCTCATCATAACTATGTACTTAGTTACTTTATTTAATACCCAGGAGCAGAGAAGAAGATTTTCAAAGAATAAATGCATTTTCACTATATAATCAATAGAGCCCTGCCCTAACACCAGAACCCCTGACCCTGGGGCCATGAATTTCACAATTTTGGAAGAGGCACTCTTGCTCTTCATAACTATGTACTTAGTTACCTTATTTAATACCCAGGAGCAGAGAAGAAGATTTTCAAAGAAATAATGCACTTTCACTATATGATCTATATAGCCCCACCCTGGGGCCAGAACCCCTGATCCTGGGGCCATGAATTTCACAATTTTGGTAGAGGGCTCAATGCTTATTACAATAATGCCAACAGTTTGACTGCTTGATGTCCAGGAGTAAAGAAAAAGATTTTTAAAGATTGCATTATTTTTGGTGGTTTTAGCCCCACCCCTCAGGCCCCAGGGGGGCAGGGATCATGAAATTCACAATTTTTGTTCCTCTTCACCCATAGATGCTATATGCCAAATTTGGTTGAAATTGGTTAAGCGGTTTCAGAGAAGAAGCTAAAAATGTTCAAATGTTAACGCACGACGCACGCCATTTTAAGGATACTGTAGATTCCTAAATACACGCGAGGAATAAATTATCGCGTAATTACGCGAGAAGCACCACTCGCGAAATAAAATTACTCGCTTTTATTTTTATGGTGCTTTAATGTATGTAAAATCTCTAGATCAATCACCGATTCGCGAATTATTGTTCCCGCGATTTGACGCCCTTGGGCCATTTTGCGATATTAAGTACTCGCGTAAAATAAGGAATTTACAGTACTGTATACAGAGAAATAAAGGAAACAAATCTGACTTGTATTGGCAAACATGCACTATGAACCTAATATGGAAGAAATTTTATGGAAGCATTTCAGAGTTATCGTGGAATATAGCTGACCTTCAGGCAGAGTGCTGACGGCATACACTAAGGCCTCAGCCACGCCCATTTCCTGCACCCCCACATCTGACGGGTGAAAGATTAGCTCTGGTATGGCAAACCTTTCATTGTTCATACGAATTATCTACAAAGGACAAAATAAATCATCTTACAGGTTGTGCAGACATACAGCAATTTCCAAGTCTTTCCAGTTTCAAAACTTGGAAATTTGGGTACCTACAAGGGGTAATCAAAAAGTTTGTAGACTAGCGCCATAAAATTATAACCGCTTTAGGTACGTCAGTGAATTTTAACACAATTAGTTAGCATTATCTTTTCCATCTATAGAATAAACTATAAATCATGTTTTATTTTTTAATAAATTGTTAATGTTTTTTTAAGCAATGGTATGTCCAGGCGGCGCAACCTCGAACATGACGTTTTTTTCTTCCTGAGTGTAAATGAGAAAAACTCTTTGATATGAACATTTATCATCCCAAAATCCCGTTAATTCAGACATGTGGTATGACACCTTTGGGTGTCTTATACTGAGCTAATTGTATGTTTGGTTGTGACCCTTTGTTTCCAAAGCTTAAGTCAATAGGAAACTTGGTTGCTGCGTGCCAAAGGTCATATAATATGTCAATAATGTAAAATTTTAGAAATGTAAATGAATGATCATGTAGCCATAGTACCCTCTGTACCCTGGTTACATTCAGAATCCAGATAATATAATAATAAAAGTAGAATTCGTATTATTAAGTAACCACTGTACCCACTGTAACCAGGTCACGTTAACAGTCCTTCAGAAATTTTCTACTTTCATTTTTCAAAGGTTTTATACTGTAACCTTTTTGTAACCTCATAGCTAAAGGATAAATAGGGGATGTACCCTGAGGTACAAAAGTATGACCTCAAAACACCGTACCAATTTCTTGCCATATATGGATGGGTGAACAAGGCGTGCAGAATGCCTATAGCTTCAGATATTAACAAGAGGCCCAGGGGCCACATCGCTCACCTGAGCACTATGGCTAGGAAAAAGCAGAAATCAGTTCAGTCTTGAAAGGTTGAAAAGTTTAAATAAACAAGAGGCCCAGGGGCCACATCGCTCACCTGAGCACTATGGCTAGGAAAAAGCAGAAATCAGTTCAGTCTAGAAAGGTTATATAAAGTTTAAATAAAAAAGTGGTTCGGGGGGGGGGGGGGGGGGGGGGGGG